TCTCTTTTCCTTCCATTTCTTCTTCTTTTCTTTCTTTAATCCAAATTCTCCCCAATCTGCAAAATAAAGTAAATTAATCATATAATAGAACATAAATCAAGATAAATTAATAATAGTCACAAATAAATGCATGTAAATCAAGCCAAATAAACGATATGATTTCGCGTTATCAGTTTAATGTGACTTTTCCTTCCATATTCATAACATGTGACATCTTGATTTAATGTGGAAGCCTCCCTTTTCTTGAAGTGTTTCTTCCTTTTTGCATAGCCGAATGATTTGTCATTTTTGTTGAAGAATTTTCCAAGTCTCTTGACTAGAAGCATACAATTTTCATCTTCCTTTGATGCATCATCTTCTGGTCCTTCTTTCAAGTCTACCTTTAATGCGATTCCTTTAAACTTTTTCTCTTGATGTTCATGCTTATCAAGGCGCCCAAGTTCCAACTCATGTTCTTGAAGTTTTCCAAAAGTGATGCGGAAGTCATTGTTGAAAGACTTTTCTTCTCCGATATTGCCGTAACTTTGGGTTTCCAATCTCTTGTTAAAGATCTTAATACTTTCAGATTTAGTTCATCATTGGAGAATGTCTTACCTAATGCAATCAAATGATTGGTCAAGTGAAAAAAATCTTTTCTGGAGAGCAACAATGGATTCTCCTGGCAGTATACGAAACATTTCATACTCTTGACTTAGTGTGTTCAGCCTTGATCTTTTAACCTCGACGATTCCTTCATGAGTCTCCACCAAAGTATCCCAAATTTCCTTAGCCGATTTGCATTGTGAGATTCAGAAGAATTCATCCATACTTAAAGCGCTCTGTAAAATATTGATAACTTTCTTCTCATTTAGAACTCTCTTTTTATCATCATCGTCCCATGCACTTTGAATCTTAGGAGTACCAACACCGTTTACAAAACTAATTGGTATATGAGGGTCAGATTTAATAGTTTCCCATATGCCTTCTCCCTGTGCCTCTAGATGTGCTTTCATGCGAATTTTCTAGAAGTCGAAATATTCACCAGAGAACAGAGGAGGTATATTACTGCTATTGTCATCTTTAAAAACCGGGTTTGTGCTAGTGGAAGCCATCTGGATCTTTTAGGAATAGGTTACCTATAACCTGCTCTGATGGCAATTGTAAGTAAAGTTGTACCTAAGAGGGGGGGGGGGGGTGAATTAGGTACTGAAAATCTTTTTTCGGTCTTAATGAAGATTTCTTGTTTTACTTTCCTAAAATTTACTAAGTGTTGAATGCAGTAAAAACGGAAAGTAAAGAGACACGACGATGTATCCTGGTTCCCCTCATAGCCCGAGAGTACTCCAGTCCTCTTTCAACATGAAAGAGATTTTTGAATATTGTTAGATCTTAAGACAAGACTTCTACCTAGTCTTTCTTATACAGACTCTAACCAATCAAAACACCAAGAAAGTCCTCTTGGATTTTCATCACTAAGTCCAATAAGAATAATCCTCTCAAAATGGACCTCTTGCTTCCAACAAGCCTGGACAACAAGGTTACAACCTTACAAACTTATTTCTAACAATCCTGGAGACGTAATCAAAGAACAAATAATTCTGATTTTGAGTAGTTTGCAGCAATATTCAATTATCAATCTTGCGACTGATCTTCTTCTTGATATATCAACTCTTATATATCAAATACAAGTGTTCAAGAACTAGAGGAATGAAACTATGATGAAATAATAAAATTTGAGGTGCAGTAGTTTCACTCTTGAAAATTGAGAATTTTTTACACTTGTGGAAATTTGGAATTTGAGAGATGAAATGAAATTTGAATTTTTTCGCAAGAAGGTTGATCTCAAAGTTTGAGATTATGAGGTATATAAATGCCTCTAAACACCTTTTCAAAATAGTGCAAATGACCAAGAGTTGCCTAGGTTCAAGAAGAAATGAGAAAACACAATTTTGCCAACAAATGCAATTTTCTAGCTCATTGCGCCAGTAGTAACCAGTTACTATATGTGGGTAATCGATTGTCATGCCATAAGTCATTATATTGTTTTTCATATAAATAATTCACCACTTGTCCTTTCAACCAACTGGGTTCTTTGTTCAATGACTTGACTTTCCTCTTCTTTGTCTTCAAATGCATTCTTACTCTCCCTTTATTGATTTTGCACTTGACTTTGTTGGCTTGGTTCTTCTTATTCTTTACTACTTCTCAATGAAATAACTTTTCAATATTCAATACTCTTAGTTCCATAAGTAAAAGTAAATGATTTAATGGAGCTAAGTAGGCTTTCACGGTTTCTATAACTTAGTTCATAAGCAGTATTTCCTCTCTATGTCTCTAGATTTTGATGCTCACGCCTTAAACTTGAAACTGATTTTTGGTCTTTTGCATGAAGGACATGAAAATTTAGTTTGACTGGTTGTTTCCATGAGTAACCACAACATGATTACGTGCAAAAAAACTAGGTGGGATATGTGGTGTTTGCGACTTTAATTTGTTTTAATTGTTACTCGAAGAGAAATTAGGATGATTACACCAACTTGGATTATAAGTGTTGTTGTATGGGTTTTTTGTATTTTTTATTGCCTACCTAATTAACATAAACTAGGTTTGCTAAGAATTCTCAAATTGATGGGCTCCCCATAGTAAACACATGCAACTTCAGATGCGTCAATCACCACCTTGACAAATTCAACAACTGACACATTATAAGGCGTCAATAATTTTTTCATCATTTCATGAATTTTATCCACTTGAGCAGCAAGAGTTATAGTATTAATGACTTGATGAACACCATCTGATTTCATTGGAGCTATTGATGTAGATGCTATAAAGACTCACTATTGTAAGTGTTGGCAGTAATTCTCTATATCAGGTTGTACCTTTATTCATAGGACATGGACAATAATGCTCCACTAGAGGATGCATATAACATATTTCTTGAAGATGGAACTAACCCATTATTGAAAGTTTTAAACCTGAATGCAAATAAGTATCCCATGTTGTGGACATTTCCTTAATAATTTGCCAACCAAATATAACAACTATGCTCTCATAACATATGCTTTATGGAGCCCCACTTGCTCGCCTTCACCTCTAGCCTTCTCTACTCTAAGGAGCTCATATGTATATACCCTTTTCAAGAATTCAAACCTAGCCTGACCCCCTTTGGTTTTTTCAAACTCCCTAATGGCATCCTTTGGGTCAACTTCTAGATGGTCTACCATCATCTCGAGTGCCTTGTCTTTGCTAATCCTTCTATGATCTAGAAGTCCCCCTTAATTGGAAGATTTAGCAAACACGACATCGTTGAGTGTGATAGACATCTCACTAAGAGGTAGATGAAATGACGAGGTCTTAGTGTGTTATCTCTCTACGAATGCATTAAGTATCATGTGGTTGACCGTAACATAACCGATCTTGCACAAGTCTTTCATCCCAGATAGGGACAATGTAGCTTAAAATTACCCGTCATTCAGTTGAGGCAAGCTAGTAATCTTCCGCCCATAGTTAATAAAGTTTAGCGGATCACAGTTCTATAGAAAAATAAATCTATGTCAGAAACTTGTAATATAATAATAAACATAATTTAAAAAGAATGAATCCAACTAATTTTACCTCTTCGTCGCAAATATGTCTGGCAGTATGGTATGAGTACATAGACACTAATGATAACTCTATAGGGTCTCCTCCAAATGCCTGAGGTGGCACTTGTTCATCAACTTCAGCAACCTGAGATGACCCTGGCTCAATGGTCTCATCAGCCGGAGGTGGCTCAATAGTCCTTCTGGTTTCTAGGGTGGCGCTGATGCCTTAGGTACTACAAGTGACTCAAGTACCTCTAGCGCATGAATAGGTGAAACTTGTTGCCTGCGGGAGATGAAGGTAATGGTGCGTCAGTAGGTGACATCAGTCTCCTACGAGAAGAAAATGGAGAAATATGAGCCCCAAAAGTCTATTGTTTCGCATGAACGAGCTAAAGTGAACAGGAGCCTAAAAAACCTAACTCTTCTCTCTCCAGACTGATGCATGTTGTGCAATCTTCCTGTGCCTTAGTCCGTCGTCTCTATCATCCATAATGCATGTAAATAAATCAAACAATTAGTACAAACAACCTTATAAGCAAGAAAGTAAAAAAAGTATGATAATTTACAAAGATGCATCTCCAATTACTGGCAATCCAAACGTTGAAGAATTATGGAGATTCATCTCCGAAATTTTCAGCAACTTTTCAGGTTTGTCAATGGCGGTAATGCAGACCACCTAACTCCAAAAATAATGGTTTGATCGTTATTTTTAACCATCAAACAAGTTACGGTATGTATAAACTATCATACATGCAATTTCTACTCATTTCTTACATAAATCGTCAATTTTTACTCATTTATACAAAAACTCAAAAAATTTCAAAAAATTAAAAACTTACAAATTGAGAGTTTACTTCAGTGTTGAATGTTGTCTCTGATGTACTCGATGTTGATGGAAGAACTTTTGAACTTAGTTGATTGATTTTGAAAGAATGTGAGTTGAAAAAGTTTGAGAATTTTTTTTTTAAAATGAGAAAGGAGAAAACGTTTTGGCGTGATTTAGAATCAATACAGTGCAAAGATGCATCTCCAAAATAATTATGAAGATGCATCTCTGATATTTATTAACGTCAAATCTAAATTCTACTTACTCAAAATGCGTCCAAAAATATATCTCTAAAATCTAAAAACATTTTAGTATTTTCAATTGATATATTAATAATATATATGTGATGCATTAAGAAATTTGAAAATTAGGTCAAATGGATCTTTTACTCTTTATATTTTTAATATTACATATGCAATTAAAATTCACAAATATGTAAATTTTACAAAAACATATATCTAAATTGAGAATTATGACGTGGTGTTGAAGGAGGGAAGTGGATTTGTCAAAAGTCTTCCCCAAATTCGACACTCCCTTCCTCATCTCAGTGTCTTCCTCAACCTTAATCAAAAACCTCCCTTTGCAGAATTCTCTGCTTCACGAATCGATCCATGGCGTCCCATCTCAACCTCTCACCATTCGCATTGTTGACGCTAACCACCATCATCCTCTCCCTCTGCTTCGCCACCGAATCAAACGAAGACCGAACCAGCGAGCTTCTATCAATTCAATCAAGATCTAGTTCCGGAATAATCCATCTCAACGACCAATCCATCGCTCGTTTCATAACCTCCGTCAAAACCCCTAGACCCTACTCCATTCTCATCTTCTTCGACGCCGCGCAACTCCGCGACAAATCCGAACTCCGTCTCACGGAGCTTCACAAAGAATTCTCCATCGTTGCTTCTTCCTTCATCACCAACAACGCTAACCATTCGTCTCTCCAAAAACTCTTCTTCTGCGAAATCGAATTCAAAGAATCCCAACTCACTTTTTCACAATTCGGCGTCAACGCTCTCCCTCACATCCGTCTCGTTGGTCCTAACCACGGACTTAAAGATTCCGAACATATGGATCAAGGTGATTACTCTCGCCTCGCGGAATCGATGGCGGAATTCATCGAATCAAAAACTAAGTTATCGGTCGGAACCATTCATCGACCGCCACTGCTGTCGAGAAACAAAATCATCCTTATTGCGGTTGGATTCTTGATCTGGTTATCTTATTTCGTTAAGAAGGTTCTCACTGGTGAAACACTGTTGCATGACCCTAGGGTTTGGTTGGCTGGTTCTGTTTTTGTTTACTTTTTCAGTGTTTCTGGTGCAATGCATAATATTATCAGGAAAATGCCTATGTTTCTTGTGGATCGTAACGATCCTTCAAAGCTTGTGTTTTTCTATCAGGGATCTGGAATGCAGCTTGGTGCTGAGGGTTTTGCTGTTGGATTTTTGTATACGCTTGTGGGTTTGCTTTTGGCGTTCATGAGCCATGGTCTTGTTAAGATCAAGAGTGTTAAGGTGCAGAGGGTGGTTATGATTTTTGCTCTGTTGGTTTGTTTTTTGGCTGTGAAGCAGGTTGTCCTTTTGGATAATTGGAAGACTGGATATGGGATTCATGGATATTGGCCCTCTAACTGGAACTTTTGAGGTTTGGTGCGGTCTATTCAACATCTTTTCCTCTGAAATTCAAGAATTTTGGGTATGTGAAACTATGCATTCCTTTCTGAAATCTGAAAACTTACCGAAAACGATGTCTTATATTATGTTAGAACTTTAAATGTAGCTTGTCATTGCCATATTGTGGCAATGGCTCAGATTTAAGCTAGAATTTGAGTATGAGACAAAAATTATAATCCTCGGTGTACTTTTTGTTTGGATGTGTTATGGTTAGTGGTAACTGGATTATGTTGCATTTTATTTTTCTGATTTTATACGGTTAAGTTTATTGGTATATCTGTCTTAAGATGCTTCCTTAAAACTGAATGTGCATGCACTTGTATTTTTGTGTAAGTGTGTGAGAGATATTAGCCATTAATCTTTAGGATTCAGATTGTCTGAACTGCAGGGTGCAGCAATGAATGAGAAAATCAAGAGAGTTGGTTTTGATAAATCCATAGATCTATAATAAGTGGCTTCCAAAAATTGATCCACTTAGCACTTCACACCAAAAAATTTACAATCGAGGGAAGTGCATTTTATTTGGATGTGTTATTAGTCGTAATTGGACCATGGTACATTTAGTTTTTTTTGAATTTATGATGTAAGTTGATTGCTATATACCTATATCTGTCTTAAAGGTACTCCCTTACAACTGATTGTGCAGTTATGATGCATAGCTATGATTATGGTACCCGGGACAGAATACGATATTAAACTGTTCAATTCACAACAAAATATTACAATAAAAGTTTAAAAATTCAAAATTTGTGTTAGGTTAACCATAACAAAGAAACTCAAATACATAAATGTATTATATCAATATATGAAAAAACCACAAATTTTACTTGAAAAAGAATAATGGAAAAAAGTATCACAAGTGCGTAGAGGTACTTCACTATGTTAGAAGTACCCATGCTTCAGAGTTATGTAGAGACACTTGTATTTTTATTGAAGTGCGTAAGAGATATGGCCATTAATCTCCAGGATTTGGCTTTGTGAAGCGCGGGGTATATCTATGGATGATAAAATCAAGTGAGTCAGTTTTGAATTTGATAAATCCATAGATCTCTATTAACTATTACTTAGCTTATCACAAAAATATGACCCACTTAGCACTTTACTCTAGAATTTCCTATCTGACTTTGGAATATCATACTTCTCCTAAATCACAAGTCAGAATGTGGTTGTTTGGATGAAAATCTTTGTTAATTTTGGTTCAATACTCAAATTACTTGTCCGCATATATGGCCTGGTATAGTAGACTGTGTTAATTTCCATGGTCATGCCTTGCCTGCACTCGTTTGACATGTTTTAAAAGTTATTGTTTGGTCTTTGGTGCTCTGACTTTGGCCAATGGGTTTGATAATCCAAGTTCTCCTTTTTCACACTTTTAGTATGTCTGAGTAGGTAGAAAACTGGAAGGTGGAAAATAACAAATTTTATATCCCAATGCAAAATGGTTAGTTGGCTATTACTTTTCTAACTTTCTCATGATGTATAATGATTTGTTTTCAAAGACTATTATCAACATCCTTGTTTCAACCTACTAAACCCAGTAAACTCATAGGCTTTGTTTGGGATTTTAAGAGGGGAGGGGAAGCATTTGAGAAAAAGGAAGGATGAAGTAGAAAAAGTTGAAGGTTTTGGAAAGGGGATACTTTGGGGTTTATTTTTCTTCATAATTCAGAATCCCCCTAATATGGTATAGGGGAATGCATTGGAGAATGACTTGGAGGGTTTTGAATGGCTTAAATAAATTGTTCAAATTCAATCTATGTTATAATTATCTAAATATTCAAAATATATTAATCACAAACATCCATTTATCATTCTATACAAAAGCACTCTCTCAAAAAAGTTAAAAGATTTGTCTTTTTTTCCTTTTACTCTTCTCCCTTCAAAGTCCTCCATTCCCTCCAAAATCTCAAACGAAGCCTCAAAAACAAGGGCATTTGTACATCCGACTTGGCTGCGAGTGAAAAAAAAGTGGGTAGCATCATTTTGGTTGTTAGCAATACTGGAATTGTGGGATTCGCAAGTTCAAGTTTGATCTCTTGCTGAAGAATTAGATGCCATAGGAACAAATAACAATTTTTGATGCATCATCTAAACTCGGGTCTCAAAATTTCTGATCATTTGATACAGACCTATTGAATCTTGTGTTAAATGGTCATTTGATATAACATGTTGTTAGTGTTGGGGTTTGGATTTTTGTCATGTAGTCGAAAGCTTCCGAGCAATTTTATGTCAACCTGTTTTATGGGGGCATACCGAGCTTACCTTTCACTATGCTTTTGTTAACTTTCAAACTGCATTTGATTTTGATATCTCAATTAATCAGCGGGAACTTAAGCCAGATCTGAAATTTGAAAGATACAAATTTTAGCTTTGGGTTTTACTGGTTAATTGAGATCTGAAATTTGAAAGATACAAATTTTAGCTTTGGGTTTTACTGGTTAATTTGAACTTGTGTGGCATAATTGATTTCTTATTAGATTTGACTAGTCTGTATAGGATTTTATTGGCATAATTAATTCTGTATAAGATTTTTTTTTGGCAAAGATACATGATGTTGTACATTCCAAACTTTAGTTCATAAATTTAACCATCATCTTGAAAGCATAATTCTTACAATAGCATAACCCTACACAAGATGTGACTAAATCCTATTTTTACACACTGCATATAATGTGATTCATTGTTCATTCAGTTTAATCTCAATTGCCTATTGTTAAATGGTCTAAGCACATTTAAAGCACCTTCTGCTTCTACCCTAATTAATCACTTCAACTTTTATTATCTGGGAGGAGGATCCTCTGGCTTTAGTGTGGAAATTACACTCTGCCTTTCCCTCTATCTCTCTCTAAAATGGCAGTACTTATGTTGTTTCCCTCCTTTTTTTTCCATAACTTTTTCACTTGTCTCTTAAAATTTGCCTAAAGTTAGTGGAAGATAGAGAGATCAAAGTTAGAGGATCTGCTTCCTGCTCCCCAAGATCTGACCATCACTTGTGGACAGATTCACATGTCCGCCCCTAAAATAAAGATGTGCAAATATCCAATTTCTTTCACATGAAATCCAACTGTAAACTTTAAAAAGAGTAGATATTTAGGTAGTCTCAAGTAAACTACCAAACCCGCGGAAACATGAAAATTTACACGTTTCCTTGTTGCTTTTATTTAATGAACCATAATTTACACTTTTCCTGATTGCTTTTAGTTAATGAACCAGATTGAGATTTTTATTTTCTCATCCCACCATTTTCAATAAAATGAAGTACATGTTAGAAAAGGACGTCAGCTTTAGATAAACCTTAAGCTTTGTTGAGCAGCACCTGTTATACCCAATGGTTGATGGCACTAATTGAGGACCCTCTCATTGTAGTTTTATAGGGTATTTGCGGCTAGGGTTGTGTTGTGCTTTTTGAGATCATTTTCTTCAAGCATATATATATATATATATATATATATATATATATATATATATATATATATATATATATATATATATATATATATATATATATATATATATATATATATATATATATATATATATATAATGATTAGTATATATTTATAATTGAGGATTTCTTAATGTATCATAGATTTCTTACACACCATGCAAAATTAAAAGAATGCCCTCAGTTTTCAAAAATGCATTTTCGGATGTATCTCATACACATACAATTTATTTGTTCTATGGGCTACGTCTCAATTTCATGATAAAATTTATTTCGAAAATGTATTTCTAGAATAAATTTAGTCATAATGTCACAAAAACAAATGAATTATGTGTGGGGTGCGTTCAGAGATATATTTCTGAAATTTGAAAATATTATTTCGGAAATACATTTTCATAATAAATTTAGTCATAATATCTAAAAAACAAATGGATTATATATGTTTTAGATGTGTTCAGAGATGCATATTTGAAATTTAAAAGTATTATTGTATTTTTACGAATGAATTACTAATATTTGTTTTATTTCATCAAACAAAAATAACATAAAACAAATATGCTAATAGCTTCAAACATTCAAAGGTCTAGTGAAATCACCACCACCAATATAATCTCTATCATTTTTATCGGCATCTTGATTATCATAATCAAACTCTGCCCCAGATGAAACACTTTTTCATCATTAATCAATGTTAGATTGCTTAAATTTCATTTTCACCTAATTTAACATTGGCACCACCACCACTTTGCAAAATATTAGTTATAACAACATTACCTTCCACAATATTATTAACAATAACATCATATTACTCAATATTAACTTCAGTTTGTATATTTTCTTTTATAGGAGTCTTCAATTATCCATTCACCGTCTGAATGACTATCTTCAAATGAAAGAACAATACTAATTGATTTTCCTTTTTTGATGCAACCCATTTCTTTGTATGAAACTAAAAAGTAAATAATAATTCAACTCAATGTTTCTAAAACAATTAAAATCAAGTCTATAAACAAACAAATAATAATTCATTACCATTTTAAAAGAACTCAAATTACGTTCACAATTAAAGGAGCCACAAGTTAAGCTTATAACACAAATTACAAACCTTTTTAATTATACAGTCATATCTCCATAGAAATTTCACCCATAGTAGGTAACATATCATTACTAAACTGTTTTATGCCATAAATCATAAATTTTCTAAAGTATTTTGTCACATGTAAATTGATACATGTGCATTGGGATCATTGGACTTGATTGGACAATGACGTATCACCTTTACACAAGATATCATACATGAGAAGTATCAAAGTGAAACTATAAGAAACTAATCACACAACAAAGAATTGATTTACGATCACAAACACGACCAAAACAATAGATAGAACTAACTCACGCCGTTGGTGAAGGGAGGAAGAACCTTTGCTAAAACAAGATACTAGGATAAAGACTTTCTAATTCTCGTACAAAAAAAAAAGTTTTTTAAAAAAAAAAATATTTTGGAGAACTTAAACTTTTTTGGATT